TGGGCACCAGTGACATTATCTGTGCGCGGCACACTCTGCTATTTGCTCTGCTCCAATAGTGGCCGTTGTCTGCCGTCTGTGAGCCTGGGTGAGTCGGGGAGCAGACCGGGGAGCGAGCGGCCACCCCTGTCGGTGACGACAGGCGGCAAATCGGCGACAGATACGCCGCCGCCGTGACGATCCCGGCGCGGTGCTCCCTGGGCCGTCTGCCGGGCTCGGTCGGTTCGGTCGGATCTCCGCTGAGGACAGATGGGCTCGCTGTCGCCGGCGCAACTCATCCCTACACGGCACCGCTGGGTAAACGGCGGCACGTGCCGGCCGGCCGCGCGCGCACGAGCCCGCATACAAATGCGATCAGCCGGCGCGTGGTATTGTCACCGTGCGCACAGCTGGCGGCGATAAATATCGGCGCCAAAATAGTCCGATTAATTCCACTGAGTGGTAGTGACTGAAACGCGGATTTGGAAACGGTTAGCAGGGCGGAAAATAGCTGTGTGAATTATGTATGAAAATAGCCAGCGATAGCCGGGAAAGCAATTTGTTAGATAGTGTGTTGACGGAACATCACGCGTCGAGACACAAATATATAAAACATTTGGCTCCGAGGCATTATGGAAATCGCGTTGGCAGTCAGATGCTCGCCGGCCGGCTAAATAGGTTCACGGAACATGGCGTCTGTGACACACTTGGTGACATGCCATTTTGGGGTGCGGCGCTATGTCACTACACAGGACGGTATCAAAAGTAATATCTATAAGCTGTGCTTCAATACATATAGATCAATAATTGCAAATACCTGATAATGTGCGTACCTGTGCTATTTCAAAATTTCGTATCCATCAACATTTGAGCGTTATATATTGACACATTTATGTCCGTTGCCAGCAGAAACTTTTAGGTCCTTTACAATGGTCAGGAACGCGAGGAGACACGTTCATAGCCGAGTCAAGTGTATTTTGAAGACAATGTAAAACACATCGTCCTTCATAAAGTGACACCGTTTTAAACTCTTTCAATAACTCGTTGTCAATTATAGGTATACGGGTGGGCACTGGGCAGATAAAATGGGACAAGTTGGGACAGATAACATGGGAGCAAAGCATTGTCAGTACTTGAGCAGAGTATAGGCGGTAAAATCCTTATCTATAAATTATTATATATATAATTACCTCTCCGCCTCCTCTTATAGCATTGCATCACCATAAAACTGAATCACTCACCACCCTTTAATTCACATCACACCCCTACCATCGTTACTTCACCTACTGGGGATACCGCGTCAGCCGCTAATCCCTGTGAATGCGCTCCGCTCATCTGCCCTCCCTCTCTCTCTCCCTCTCTCTCTCTCTCTCTCTCTCTCTCTCTCTCTCTCCCTCTTTCCCTTTGCCCTCCCCGCGCCGGGGCATCATCTCCGCGTGATTTATGCCAGCGGGCCCCTGCTCGCGCGCCGCCAATTAATTTAGATTGGTAATGTAATTAAGGCTAAATGGCGGTGTGGCCGTCGGGTCGTCTGTCGCCACGACGGGTCGTACCGACGATCGTGATGGTCGATCGGGACGAGTCGGCCATCGGGCGGTATCGATGGAGGTAGGGGAGATGATGGGAGGAGAGGCGGGAGATGGCCGACCGGGAGACTGGAGGAGGAAGCGAAGAAGGAGAAGGAGAAGTGGAAGGAGAGGAAGGAGGAGAAGGACATGGTAGAGATAGGATTGGGAAACAGACTCAGAAATGTGATAGCGCGATAAATACATTAGAGACTGAAATTAATTCACCGACTAACATCTGCGTAAGCTGCGAATGAAATCCTTTATTTGAAATGCTAAATTCTTTAGGAATGTTTTTATGTCAACTCAAAATAAACCTTTTTTTGCCCTGATCCAAACAAATGCCTTCCTGGTCTCCCGATGTCATTATTTCGACCTAACTTCGGCCTTTGCCCGAATATATAAATCGCCTTCTTCATCCACTGGTGTTGGTGGTCTGATTTTGACAGGCATGCTGGTGGCAGCAGTTTCGGATGACAGATAATCTGTCATTGGTTAGCTGACATCTCCAGAACCCGCGGCCGATCGGTGCTAGCTCTTCGATGCTGGTATCTGACCGACGCGATGACAACTGAGGTTCGCTGGGCTGTTCAGATGACCGGTGGCTGCCGTCAGAGTTCCGGAATCAGTGCAAAAGCAAATTACAGGCTAAATCAACGGAATCGAGATCAAGTCGCTACGGGGTAACGGTGGACCGTCCGCACTCCGCTTCCAGACTTATCTCAGCATAAATGCGACAGGTCTATATTATCTATATAGAATCTTGGGATTTTAATGTTCAGGAAACCTTTCACCTGGAGTAACAATTAATTTGCCAATATTTCCAATATAGAAAGATAGATAGATAGATAGATAGTGTAAAACACAAGGGCATTTCAAGGATGAAAACACAATCTAGTTACATGGTCTACAAATTTGCGATCACGATTTAATTATGTAGAATAACATTGAAAAATTTTAAATCACCGTTTAATGCATAAGGTCATTGAAATCTTCAACAGCATAATGCAGCCGAAACCCTGTGTCCATGTTTGTTTTCCGTGGATCTTGGACTAAAAGCAATTTTCCTAAAAGGTCACGAATCATTACACCCGAGCACTATCAACGGTTTCCGGCTGATCATCATGTAACGTATCTCTTACTGACCGGCTGCAGACAAGTTAACAATCGTCTCCATCCGACTGCATATCTAGCAGAACTCCTTTCACTCTCCGGCGAACCGGACAGCTCGGCGGCTCGGCGGCGATCGGCGGACCCGCTCTGAGCGGCCGTCTCTCGGATACCGCTCAATATCGCTGATGTGGCTGAACGGACCGCGTCGAGAGTGGAGAGTCGGCGCCGCCCCCGCCCCCGCCCCGCCGCCAGCGCCGCCCGCCGCCCGCCCGCCGCCGCCGCCTAGTTGTGCGGAAAATTTCGCTCCACGCGCCGGGCTTTGTATGCCGGCACCGTGCCGCGTCTCGGCACGGGCCGTGTCGTCTGTCCCTCGGGACTGGGCGAGAGTGAAGAACAGGCTGCGAGGAACAGAGGGAGGCGCGAGAGGCGCGTGGCACCTCAGGGGACGACCGGGAAGAGCGCAGAAACAACAGACTTCTTGATACGATGTTTTTATGTCATAAGCGTTTGATCAAGAAAACGGAAAATTCAGAACAATCTACTCAATATCATCTATGGAGTTTGACAATCCTTTTTGCATGCGTCAAACACATTTTTAAAAAGCAATAGTTCTTTGAAGAAATAGCGGTGATTATTTCGGTAATGTTGACATTTTTGTTCATTTATTTGTCAAAGAGTTGAAGATGACAAGAAGTTAATCTTTTATCTTCCACCATCCAGCCTTATTCCAAAAGCTGAATGATATTTCCGACCGGCTCACAAAATTCAAAGGTCAGTGCATTCTCAGTATAAGTTTCCGGCTGCAGTGGCTAACGGAACCTAATTTCCGTTTTAAATTATCATTTTCGGCGTTCAAATTAAAAGCAGCCAAATATGAAGAGCGTTAACCCCTCAGTATGACAGCTTTCCATCATTGCCTCCTTTCAGTAAGTTACGGTTTTGCTTCAGTATATCAGCAAACCCCACGAGCTCACGAGCATACCATGAGCAATCAAGAAACAGCACAGCATGCCGTCTGCAATGCAGAACCGTAACATGACTCATTCCTTCGTAGCAATCGCAAGCCTGCCCATTGTCCACTCTCAACACCCTAGCTGCAGAAGCAACTCCTGTTGTCTAAAACGAAAGACTCCGTAACGTTAAAAAAGGTTTGCATTTAATCAGGTTTGAAAGTTGACTTCTTGCACTGGCCTACATCGAGGATGCTCTACTGAGCCCATCCATCTTCTTTGTCCGGTCAAATCTCTCCAGGGAGACCTGATTGAGCGTGAACTGCCTCCACCCACTGACCCGCCGATAGGCTGCCTTCTGAGCCATTGAGCTCTTTGTGAGCGCCGCCAATGAATTTAACCCGTTACCCGACCGCCGCTGTGTCGACTGGGCCTCTGCCGCACACGAGGACTGGGGACCGCCGCTGTGTCGACTGGGCGCCCCCGCCGCACACGAGTACTGGGTGCTGACGGCCGCCGCTCAGAGCGTGACATCTGGGGCCCGGCCAGCCACCCAGCTCCCCATCACGTATCAATTAGCCCGGCCATGGCGCATAAATATAACAAAGCGGTGTTTGCCAACGTTTGGCGCTCGCGGGGGTGCCACCCGGCCGCAGGCGCGGCCACTCCGGCGCGCGCGCCGCGCCGCTCCCCCACCTTAATCCGTCGGCGTGTCATTAGCCTATTACACGGTGCGTTAGCTATTCATACCATCAATTTGCCGCATATTAAATTAGCACAACAATGGCGCGGCATCAGGCGCCGCCGACTCGGCGTCGCTCCCCGCGCGGCCACTTGTGATTTCGGCGGCAATAGACAGTTACGGCGCATCGGCCACACAATCGGCGCGCGCCACCTAATGGCCGCCACGTGCTGAGACATTGATGGCGCGTGAACGGGCGCGGCGGCGACAGCGGCGCAGCGCGCAGCGGGAGGCTGCCCCGGGCACAGTGCAACTGAGCTGACGGCACCAGGGCAGCGCATTCAGAGGGTAATGACGCGGCGGTATTGAGGCCAGACACCTGGCGAACTCAGTTATAGTGGGAAAACAATGATATGTGTGAGGGATGGCACAGTTTGAGCTGAGCTGCATTTGATTTACACGTGGCATTTAATCTCTGGGTGACATTCATTAATGCTCAATCGAATTATTGTGCAGCGCGTATCTTTTTAGCATTTGTTTCTCGATCGCATTAAAACGATTAGTGGAAAAGGAAGATGTGAAGCTTAATCATTCAACAAATGAATATCAAGAACCTGGCCAATTCCCGAGGACCCACACCATCAGTCATCACCACTCACAGCCGCGATGTCGCCTCCTCCCCTGACCGCCACCGCCGTGCTCCGTCCTCAGGTGGAGCCCAGCACGCGCTGCTGGGTAAGACGCGCCGGCCGCGCACCGCCTTCACCAGCCAGCAGCTGCTGGAGCTGGAGAACCAGTTCCGACAGAACAAGTACTTGTCGCGGCCGAAACGCTTCGAGGTCGCCACCAGCCTGATGCTGACCGAGACTCAGGTTAGTGAGACATAGCCAAAGGTGGTGGGCGAGACACAGTGAGACACCGCATTGTCAGGGTGAGACATGACGCTCCACACCTAATCTTAGACGTCTCGGGCCTTACACAACGCGAACTTCAGGCGAGAAAGTCAAAGACATAACTAAGATTGGATAAAACTTCATTACTCGCTACCGCGGGCAAAGTCGAGAATTGCTAATTTTATCAGCAATGTCCTTTTTGTCCTTCCGGCTGTCGAACTCATCAACTGTCACCGTTTATTCGGCAAATTTTACCGATATCTACCGCTATCGAGCCGGAGCCGCACATAGTAGCCATTACTACGAAGAACACTTGAGCCGAACAGGATACATCCGACCCTCGATTCGGAAGCGCGTGTGCCGCAGTGGAGTGTGGCGCCTCATTGGCGTACTTACATTTGCACGGCGCGATATTGCAGCTACCGATCTGTATCACACTAATCCGACGTTTGTGTGAGCCACTTGAAACGGACAGTTCGGTGAAACAGCGCAGCTTTGAGAGCAGAGGACAATGGATGTTTGCTCACGCTATCACTTACATGCAATTACAAATATTGGACAGAAAGATAATTCCCGTGACAGAAGATGGCCGTCTTTGACTTTTGAAGTGGCTGGCAATCCCTGACGACTATTTTTGTAGACCGTCTTCCATAACACACATATTTCTTCCAGGTGAAAATCTGGTTTCAAAACCGGCGCATGAAGTGGAAGCGGAGCAAGAAGGCCTCCTCCCAGGACGGTAAGGCGAAGAAGGCTGCCGCCGGCGGCGGTGAGGTCTCGGGTGGTGGGGGCGGCGGCGGCGGCGCGGGAGAAGCCGAGGATCCCGAGGTAGACGTTTGTGAACACAGCGACTCGGCCGAGAGTGACGCGGCGCACGAGCGGCCCACCCCGGAGCCCGAACCGGAGCCGGAGCCGGAACGGGAGCCGGAGCAGGAAGCAGACCGGGAGCGGCAGCCGGAGCCGGAGCCGCGGCTGACGGCAGAGTCCGGCCAGGAGCCGGTCGCTGCTCCGGTGGATTTCAGCAGCTTCGGACCGAGACGCGCAGAGGGGGTGCTCAGTGTCAGCAAGTTTGCACGAGACCCGGATCTTATGTATAGGCCATACGTTGTGTAAGATGACGGGTCCGGGCATCGTGCGTTGTGTAGGGTGATTGATCCGATGGTATGTCGTATAAGGTGACGGGTGCCAGCGCCATTGTTAGTTCGCGGATGTTAACGTGTGCTTGTCATTGTGTATGTTGCCAGTGTAAGATATTTCAGCAACGGGAACACTAAGCGATGCTCAAAATTAAACTTTCTTTTGGAATTCTGTAGCACCTAAAACAAAGAAGGAAACGCATTACTGGAGTAGTTCTTGTAGAAGTTGTAGATGCCATCAGAATATGCCAGTAATCTCTAAACTAAGGAGACACTGTTTCTGTGTCAGACTTTAAATACCTCTCGTTTGCCGTTGCGGGTCATTATAAACAGACGAGAGGGAGGCGCTGGGATGTTTGGTGCTGGTGAGTGTTGTGTCGACAGTGATGTACGGATAAATGATGTGATGACCTGATGGTCGGGAAACAGCCGTGGCGAATTGATGTGACGAGTGGCAGCCCCCGATACACCGCTGTCGTTCGCCGTTGGCCGTTGCAGTCGATAGTCGCGTTCCACATTACATACAGTTCCAGTGAGTTATGCCCGTAGCAGGACTTAGCGCTCCAAGTCAAAGCGTCACCTACACATTATCATATTGCTTTAAGGTGCGACATGGCTCGTGTACCGCGAGTACTATTGTTGTTGAGTGCAGCTCCACGGCACATTTTCCCAGTCCATCGTGCTACCGGCGTGCGGCTCATGATATTTGAGGTTCTATTCTAGGCAAGACTAGTGAAGAACTGCGTCCATTGAGCGTTGGTAGTCTTCGGAAAGAAAATAGTCCGTAGAAATGCCTAGTGAGCTTGTCTTGTGGTGTTCAATAAATGTTACATATGCTGTAGGTACTCTGCGGCATATTCATTCCACAAAAACTATTTTTACAACCGACTCATTGTGAAAGAAGCTTGGCTGCAGTATTAAGATTTAGGAAAGATACACAGCACACGATACGAACCAACGCCCCCTCAGCGAAATAAAAACGAAGGGAGCATTTTTGTTCTACCGAGCGTGTGTTTGTAAGGCACGGGAACAGCTGAAGTATTTGGATTTGTGCTAGAAAATTCCAACAAGAACCCCACACCCCTCCACTCCCCCCGCCCGGTGTGTGTTCACCGGCACACCCGAAAGCCAATTGGCGCCAATGTCAACACGCCTCGGTCGATCACATGTAAACGACGCCGGAAAATCACTCTCTATTCAGCATTTGCCGCTCATTGCCTTTGAACTACCTCGCTTCGGGTCTTGATCAATTCGACAAACAGGTTTTCTCATCATCACCTGCAGCGCTAACCTGATCGGCGCCTCTCCGGGGACGACTAACCGGATCGGCCGCCGCCAAACTCGGTTAGCGCTCGTCATGGTGCTTCGATAAGTCGGCAGAGCCGAGCGGCGCCGACGCATGAGCGCCCCGTAATCCGATCGGCCCGCGGGCTGATTGGATCTATAGCCGCGCGCCAGCCGCTGATTGGTCAGAGCACGCTACCTATCCACAAATGCGATTATCTCATTGTGCTGTCCGCGCGGCACAGCCGATTGGCGCTGGAGAGAGGCACTAAACGGGGAGAGAGGGAGAGAGGGGGCTGCAGAGTGGAGAAATGCGGACAATGAGTGTAGGTGCCAGGTAAACCTACCTACCGTGGGACTCTGTCACGGCGAGAGAGAGAGACAGAGAGAGAGAGAGAGAGAGAGAGAGAGAGAGAGAGAGAGAGAGAGAGAGAGAGAGAGAGAGAGAGAGAGAGAGAGAGAGAGAGAGAGAGAGAGAGAGAGAGAGGAAGAGAAAGAGAGAGAGGAGGAGGAAAGAGGGAATTAGTTTTGGGAAGGGACGAATCTACAGCATTACAAAAGACTGTTTTTGGTAGCTAAAACATCGAAGGCTTTCCGCCTCATTCTCGCTTCTTATTCGAAAATCAACATAACGCATAAAGATTAGCTCATACGGTGAGCCAAAACATATTTTGAAGCAGAAGATTTATGGTTCCAAAAACTACATACCTATCTGGACATGGTCGGACCCACCCACCTGACTCGCAACTGTTTCCATCTGTTTTTATAAAACACACTGCAATCGTCTCGTAGTCGTGACCATACCATCGATAACTGGAGCAATTATATTTTTATACGGGCTCCCACCACGAAACGTTCGAATAAATAAACGTTTGGTAAACGCCACGGGGCAGATTTCAATTGTGTGTTTATTTCAAGACAAAATAAAAGGCATGCTCGAATAAGTCTAATACATGTGTAGGCAATGCCGCATTGAAACTGGAATGCATTGGAATGCCACAAAGAGAGTTAGATTGCCTTTTGACATGGTGTTCTTACCGTATACACGAAGGTAGGCGGTGTTTTGCTTTATCCCGTGTCATGTGCACATATTTTGGTGCTAGACAGGTAGAGTGCCGCTTGTGACAACGTTTTCATCGTCGCTTAAGTTTTACTTTGGTTCCTATTTGATGTACCCATATTTGCGAGTTTATTTCACATTTCATTCCTTTGCTGAGGGTTCAGGAAACCCATCTTATTTAAAAGTCCCTGCTGATGAAAATGAGTCTTCAAAAAAAAAAAAAACTCAGAAAAGTAGGATGAGTCAAAGCCTACAGCGGAGCAAATGAGTCACTGACGGCTATGACCACGTGTTGAATGCGCGTAATTCATTGGTTCATGGTTGCCATGGTGGACCTATATTTAGCGACTGATCTTGTGACAAAAGTCCAACGTTCACTCGCCAGCACGGGGGAGCATTCTCGGAAGCTCAGATAGCTAATGCAATTCCAGTTAGTTGGCTTATTGCTGAATGCTATCGCACACATTGGCGTACCTACAGTGTGTATTGTGCATACATCTAGATATATCCAACATCAATCCATGAAGATGCGAGTCTCTTGGTCATAAAATATAAAAGAATTATTTTGACTAAAAAAAATCATTTTTTGTTCAAGCTGTAAGAACAATATATGCTCAGTCGCAGAAATCTTAGACGGACATTACCAAACGTTAACTTTATTAAAAAGCCACCCTCCTTCAAGGCAATAAAATGCTTAAGAACTAAAAATTGAATCGCACAAAATCATATTCGTTGCAATTCCATGCGCAAAATGTAAGAAAAAAGGCATTTCGAAACGACCAACAGCTTGAAAATTGAGCATTATGCACTTTTGTTTTACCAACTGCAAAATCCGAACTACCCACCACGCAACGTGAGACGTGAGCTCAACACAGGAGCTGCCTCTGTTTCCATCCTCCGTTTGGCTGAGTGTGCCGGTGAGCGCCATTTTCCGATCAGTCGGCCGGCTCGGGTGGCCGCTCGCCCCGCCCTGCTCGAGCTGGCTGCGGAGGACGCACCGCTAACGAACGCCCGTGACGAGAGCCCGTTTAATTAACGCTAACTGCCTTAATGGATCGCGCGACACCGGTTTAATCTTGGGCTAATTACGGCGGCCGCCGGATCGTTAACGGAGCTCTCGTGGCCACGATTAAAGCCCGCCAGCGGCGAGGGAGAGAGAACGGAGAGAGACGAGCTATAGAAGAAAGGATAGGGGAGAGGGAGGGAGGACTGATCGGGGACCTGACGCGCCTCGGGTGGAGAGGGACGTGATTGGTCCGATTGATGTCATTTCCTGGATGTATGTGCTGGCCACACAGGCGTAGGGACATCAGTTACGCAAGATAGTTTTTTGTGGAAAATTGGAACACGAAGCAATTCTGGCTCCAATCATGTCAAGCCTTTTTGTAAAACACAATCAATTAAAACCAAAATGAGCTGAATTTTTGCTTTGCATGTTTAGTTTTTAATGCAGAAAGTTAGACAAGAATATTATGCTTCAGGTAAGTTTATCAACACTCCGGTGTTCACGTCACCTAAACCGACCCCCACCAAGCACGATTTGGCAGCACTGTAATGGCGTCTGCTGGGCGTGAAGTTTTCCCTTCACCATAGGGTTTACACACAAACTGGTCAAAGTTTGAGCCAGGATATACTAGTCTAAAAATGCAAAAAACGAACAAATTTTGGCATCAATAGATTCAGCATTTCATCGTGTGCCTCAAACCGTCCATCATTTGGCCTCAAAGGAGGTAAAAATTGTTCAAAATCGAAGTTGAAAAGATGCTTTCTGAGCACATAATCTGGTAGCAATCACGTGACCTGCTATAAGCAGCTTATCGATAATTTACAAACATAATTATTAATATGCTGCTTTAAACAACATTAATCATACATTTTGAGCTTTCAGTACTTTAAATAAGGTCAAAACATCGCAAAACACAAAAGTTAATACAATAGTCACGTGGGTGTCAGGAAATGTCACAGGTGCGTCAAATTTGTGACTGGGGCTTTACTTTCAAACATCGGATCTACCTGTTTCTTATAGGTATCTTGACCTAAACCATCAATGTTCAAAGCGTTAATTTCCTACTTGCCTATTTATTAACGAAATTCCCGCCAGTTTCTGGCACGAATGACCAGAGCCGGGAAAAAGTAAAAACAAATAGAAACTGCATGCTAAACAAATTTGCATTGCTCACCAGAAGCGCGATCAGAGATGTTTAACGCCCGTCACGACCTCCTTTGTGTGCAGTTGGATGAATAATGCAGACTAATAAGTCAGCGGCGCCGAGTTGTGTTCTTTCCTAACTGAGTTTGGCTCGCGATCAAGAGACTGAAGATGTGATACACGAAGACTTTTGCAGTCGTAGAGTGCTCGGTTTTCGCTGAGCAGCCCATATTCAACACAAAGTTTTACACAGTCAGAACGGTGTAATAAATTAAGAATCCTGTTCTCTGTTCAGGACTGCTCCAACTGCTGCAAAGGAAATGCAATTGACAGAATAAATTTCCCATAGAAGTTAAGGATTTATATATGTAGTTTTCGAAAATGTAAAGCTAAATAATCCGCGTATTAACAAACGACTGCGTTACGATGTGTTCGAAAGGATTAACTATGAAACACCTAAAAATTTTGGTACCTGGGGCATTCCACGATAGATCGTACCACCTTTTTCCAATTTGACACCCTCATCTCTCCGAATTTGACGAGAATTGGTCTCAGGGGTAATCAGGGGCTCTGAATCCTCCTGTAACAATTTCAGGCTTATCAGATAAGTATTTTTTGAGTTATGGTGTATAACATTTTTTGGATCTTGCTTTGCAGCGCTAAGTTTGGCGGGCTGTAACTCTAAGACGGATTATTCAAATGCCAAATGTTATATAACATTGAACTTGCAATGAAACAGAGATTAATATGTATTTTTGAAATTTCGAAAAATACGCTATTTTTGATATATGACATATCGAGTTTTCTTTCATTTGTATTTTTTGGACTTAAGGACCAAATTTTTTTGAATTTTTATTTCTTTAAAAAAATATTTGGCTCATTGTTAAGAAGTATGCAAAAAATTAGGAAGGTGTTCTTTCTATAAATGTATTTATTTTACGTCACGATAACGGTTTCGAATAGTGATTTCGGGAGGGGAGCTCACAAATGGCGTGGTAAAGCTGCCTAGTGACATCACGGGTTGCTGAAATTTCAATTCAAGTCTGAGTCATCTGAAAAAGTGAAAAGAGGGTTCATTCAACCCTCTTTCCTATAAGCGCGAGGGTGAAAAAGGCTGCTTGGTTCTGACATTGTTTTGGACGCCAATGACCATAGCTGTCCGAGATGAAAGGTACAGGACGCATACATGGTGTCCTCCAGAGGTCTCACAACTTGTATATCTGGGATTTTTTCAAGGTTACATGGGGTCAGGTCGGTCACGTGACATCACTGTTATAAATCAATGGGGAAATATAAAAACTGTTATTTTGGCGCCGAGAATGATCTAAAACTATCCCACGTACATGGTATCGTGATTTCATGCACTCCTTGCAAAGTCCAATGCTTTACTTTTGCATTGTTAACCTTGCGTGACGTCATTTATAACGTCACTAGGGTCGTACGAGTTTTTCGTCAATAACTCCCGATCAAATGGAGCTAGAGAGTCGGGAAAGCCACCAATGGACTCGGGAAGACCTTCCGAATCGAATGATATGCCATATGATACCCTTTGCCCAGCTTCGTGACCTGAGGGGCTCTGATCTGACCTTGACCCGAGGTCAACTACTTAAGTTGACCTCACCCTAGCAAAAAGTATACCATTCGATGCACCTGAGCTAGGCGAACACAATGATGCCAAAATGCGGCTCTGCGGCCATTTTTTGCGAAGTTATTTACTAAAAACCGAACCCGTAACTTCAGTCACGTGACCTGACCTCAGACGCTACCGGTTAAGCTGAGACCTTAAAATCGGGTACCAATCGCTGCGACTTGTAACGGCACACACGCTCGTTTTTTCCGCGAGGCTCTAGCTCTATTAGAAGCGAAACGGCGTGCTGGGGTCGTATCAACCCCTCCGAAACCCATTTTGTTTGCGGGAAAATGAGGAACTTATAGAAAGAACACCTTTCTAATTTTTTGCATGTCGATTTGCAATGACATGAAGATTATTTTGAAAAAATAAAAATGTAAAAAAATTTTGTCCCAAAAGTCATTAGAGGCAAATGAAAAAAGATTAAGGTTTTTGCTCAACAATGAAATTTTTTCTTTGGAATTTTTAAATAGTAATATTTAATTTTGATTCATCGCAAGCTTAGTGTCGTTTACTTTTTGTTGGTTGCTTAACCCGTTCTTGAGTTATAGGCCATCAAACTCACCGTTACATACCGAAGTTAAAAAAATGTAATGCAATATAACTCAAAAAGTTTTGATCTGAGAAGTCTGATATTTTGCCAGGCGTCTTTGGGGCCTATGATTACCCCTAGGACCGATTTTCATTAAAATCTGAGAGATGAGGGTGACGGGCCTGGTACGATCTATCGTGGAATGCCCCACCTACCTATACCTTCACAAATATTTAATGTAATAGATGATGTTTTTTGGGAATTATTACTGGAAATAAGACGGCCGATGGAAAAGGAATTGATCATTAACATGGCACAAATGTGTTATTTTAACCATTGAAAAGACCGAAATACACTATAATACGCAATTCGAAATATTATGTATTTCGGTCTTTTCAATTGCTATAAAATATATTTGTGCCATGTTAATGATCTTGATCAATTTCTCTCCCATCTTATTCACAAATATTTCTTGGAATTCAATCGTTTTATTATAAAGGCATAAAACATTTATTACGTCTGTTATTCGCTGTAATGACGCTAATTTGGCACGGCACGACACCAATCCGCACAATGCTAGCACATCACCACGCATCACGTGTACGACACTGACGTGGTCGCGACCTCACATCAGTCGGGCACGTCAGTGACGACCATCGCTGTGATTGGCCGTCTAATGGAGCCTCGCCGTCATGACTGATGGACCACCGAGTCAGGAGCGTCATCGGGCCGAGAGGACACTCCCCGAGGAGCCATCCGTCACGACCTGACCCCCCCCCCCCCCCCCTCCCCCGGCAGTGGCTGGGTGGGCAGCCCCCAACGAGCACATGTGAGCATCCGTCATATGCGTGAGTCTCTCGCTTACGTCTTATTGCTAACCCACAGTGCGTATTGTAAGGATGAGGCTATCAATCTCGTAATCACCAGTCAGATAATGTTACCAGGGCTCCCTAACGAGGTTCCACTGAGTAGCTGCTCATCAGTGAATACAATGAGATGTAAATATCGGAACGACTACAGACCATGAGATGCAAATGGGTGGCGCACAGTGTCAGTGTGGGCCAAATCATTCAGGATCGGCAATTGGCGTGGCCCTGGTTCTACGTCTTATTGCGGCTACCTAAATTATTTTTAACGTTCAACCGATTAAAATGTGGGCTGATTAAGTCATCCGGGTAACCAGATCCAAAGTTCCAGAATATTTGTTTGTAGAGGAAATCAAGGCAATATCCGTCATCCCATCATTCCCACAAATGTAAAAATGCAGTCCAGCGCCAATCATTGCAACCTAATTATTACGTTAATTTTTTTTCGCAGACCTAGCAATGTATATTTAACATGTAAGATCCATTACAATATTGCATCGCAGAATTTTTTTCCACAAACGCGATTTACACGCACTCACACGCACACAAGGACACATACACCCATACACACGGAGGAGGACGAGGTCGAGGAACGTTACGTTAATTCAACATGTTTTGATTTTTTAGTCGCTGATTTTTCAAACTACATAGAGGCTATGAGAAACAGCCAGAATACGGACAGGACACAAGTTCCTCTGTGACTCCTACAGAGGTCCCACCGCCTGCCGCAGACGTTGCCCGTCCCGCCGCCCTTCTCTGCATCAACTCTGGCCAGTTCACTGCGGCCCTGGCGGCGCCGTCTCCACTAAACCGTGCTCCGGCTGCGGGCCGGCTCCGCCGCCGGCCGCTCTTATCCGGATGAGATGCCTCCGTTGACGATTTAATTCGCTGATTGATGGTCTGAAAACGAGTGGCTGATGCGCGCCGCCATGATGCCGGCCTGCCCGGCCGCCGTCTGATGGCCGTCGTTAGACCGCAAATCCTCCACTCCGGCGGCGCGCTTCCTTACGTCTGACGACGCCACGCTCCATTTGCATGTCATTTGAATGCATTAGGCGGGCGGCGGCGGCGGCACCGGCGGCCGATTGGATTGGCCCGCGCCGGCCCACTCGCCGGCAGACCGACCGCCATGAATCATTGGCAATCTTTCCACACAGATGCTTCGGGCAATCAGCAAAATGGCTTCTGGGGGTATTTTTGAGCGTCGTTAGCCACTACAAACGACGGTGCTGGCCGGAAAGAAGCTCATCTGGATTCTCTGTCACGTCTCTGACCGCTTAAATCATGGCCAGTCCGGGGCGTTCGGTGCGCTTTGTTGGTCTCTTGATACTTGGCCGGGGAACAGAGACTGCCCGAGTGGCCGATCCTCTCAGATGAACCGGGATTCAGTGGAAAATTCAGTGAAGGAAGAGTTGCTGTGCTGCTGAGACGCAATGCAGTGGCCGAGTCGCGGCGAGCCGAATTGGAATAAAAAGGAAACATTGCTAAGAAGTGTATAAAGCTATCCGTTCAAACATAAGACACCGGGTGGCCGCATATCGATTAACTACAGCAACTAAAACGCGTTTCAAGTATTGATATCCTTGGTTTCTTTGTTGTAACTTGTGAAGCGTAAGATAATTTACCTGATCACAAGGAAACAAGGAAACCCAGATAGGTGAAGGTCGCTGAATGGTTGAGCGGATTGCATAAGCCATGCCTAATTTTAATATGTAAATAGATTTCAGCCCGACTCCGATACCCGTGCCGTCATTTCATCCTCGTCGCAGTCATTACTTCCGGAGTGGGCTATCCAGTAGCAGAGACGGAAGTTTGCTGTAACCTAAACCTAAACCCAGTGTATAGTAGAGCGTTCTTCCCTTCTGCCACCTACTCCATTCAATTGCATCATACCTCGAGGCTGGATGTACTCAACTCAAACTAGATAATTACTCAAGTACTCAGTGCAATGATTGTGACTCACCTAGAACATGATGCGTAGCAATGATCCGCACAGTGCCGTCTGATCCAACGGAGGTCACCTTCTCACCGAACCTCACTGTCCCGGGCATATCTTACCGCACAGCTCACCTCACCACCACGCACATCCGGGCGGCCACTTCACAGAACACTGACCGCAGCCGGACGGGACAGGCTGACCCTTCCGTCCGGGCCGGGGTCGGCCTCGGGTAAGGTCAGGTCAAGGTGAGCGGTGCTGGCTGTAATGCGATTCACGACCCGACGTGTCGGTGGACTAGCCATTAGAAGTTCAACCTTTACCTATTTTGTGTAATTTGTTTTCGCCTGAGTAGAAGCAAAATACAGAGACTTTTGGGCAACTAACATAGGTACCTACTGTATCGGGTAAATATTCTCGGGGACAGTCTAGCTTGTATCCCGTTTGATGTCTCATTGGGGCGATCTATTTCGGCCAAAAAGATGAACTGTTGTTGCGACGATTAGATCGGATAAAGACACTGGTCTATGCGGATCAACGGTGCGCCTCAGCCGCAGAGACCGTCCCGGTGCAGTGGAACGGTAATGTTTCTTTGGCACCTCAAACGGTTACCCCAGAGAGGATGTAGTCTTATCTAGAACTTGCCCCCACTACCGGTTGCCTCGTAGCTACCAGGAGCGGTCGCCCACACCGCGGTGAGGGTGACTGTCAGCCCGGACAAGGTGTACTCGTAATGTGTGTGTAAGAATGTGGGTGAGCTAGTCCTGCAGGGGGAAGCCAAGGGCGGATGTTGAGTGCTGCTAGTCGGTATCAGTCGTCCGATGCAAAGGCACTGTTTCTTTTTATATAGTTTATTTGGTACTCGGCAGAAAACGAAAGCAAGATGAACACAGAACAGTTTTTGGAACACTTAGAGTAGGACACGCATGTCTATTACATATGCTATTACTCAACACAATGATATCATATTGCACCTCTAAATAAACTCGGCATTTTCCCGCTCCGTAACAGGTGGCTGTTAACTCAGTGAAACGGTGATATCAATTAAACATGCACGTCCACGTGCTGAGTGAACACGAGTTAACCAACTCATTACCAATAAGTAGCAGGTGCAATCACAGCTAAACGACTAACAATGTCAACATCACACTCGATGCCGTCGCCAATGCCTTTTCCCAATTACCTGTTTATTAAAAATATTTATAGTTAAAAATTTGAAAGCGTCCTCGGTCCTTGATGATGCGACTGACCATTTCTGCTATTGTCAAGAGCTCGCATGTCCCGTAAAATGTTAAAAATATGTTCGTTAACACTTCGATGCATGGGCGAATATTTCACACTTATTTAAAATCACTCTCAAGAGTCTTCACCTTCTCCCGCCTAACACTAATCACACTGATCAGCGATAAGCCCATAAGTATTAAGTGGGCTTTACAGTTAACAATCATACGTGTATTGTTGCGTTGTGAATGAGGTGCACATCGTGTTTCCAATAGAAGCATAATGCTGTAATGACAGCCTCCAATGGAACGGCATACCAAGAAACGTGAACAATCGCACAGATTATGCAGGTCTCTGGAGATTTGTAACTGCATAAGCCTGTGCTGTAAATATGTGACACACATAGTTAATCCAGTCAGGTGTTCAGTACCTAAACAGTTTAAATTTAATAATCATCCATTGTCATCCAAATCTTAGCCTGGGAATGTAAACGTGTCCTTCACATCCTTTTTTAGATCTTGAAAAGTGCTGTTCAGCTCATTACGAGCTCGACTAAACCAGCTTCCTGACTGTTCACTGTCCTCTCCGTGTTTCTCTTCACCGTTTGATTGTTGCTCCAGAGCAGCGCCTTCCTCCTGAGGCCGAGTGCTGTCGTGCTGAGATCCAGAAGGAGCGTCGTGGGATTCGGATCCACTTTCATCTTCTTTGTCGTCTACCTCGTCCCCAAACAAGACACCTTTCATTTCATTCTTGGCCTTACTGAACAGGCTTTCAGAATTTTCCCGTTCTTGCGTGCTGTCTTCTAAGTGTTCTGCTTTGTAGGTCTGGCCGCTCAACGATTTTCCATCATCCTTACTGGATTCATCCTGCTCTTGTCCATCCTTTCCGACCGTAAAGATGTCTTTTATTTCAGCTCGAGCCTTGTCTAGCAAGCTTCCAGACTTTTCTTCGGTTTGTGGTTCTGATGAGCCATTCTGAGTTCCGGCATCACTCTCCTGATGTTCATTGTCACTTATCTGAGGTTTGGAGCCGTCACTTGTATCCCCCTCGTTTCTATCCTCGTCTCCGAAAAGCACACCCTTGACTTCATCTTTAGCCTTGCTAAGCCAGCTGCCAGACTCTTGCTCTTCTTCGGCTTCCGTAACATTGCCATTTGTCCCTGATGGGTCCTCTCTGTTGGACTGCTGATCCTCATCTCCTGTGAACACTCCTTTGATTTCCTTCTTAGCTCTGCTGAGCCAGCTCTCGGTCTCCTGGCCCTCGGCATCTCCTCTCTCACCGTCCACTTCCAGGTTTGCTTCTGACTGCTCAGTAGCCGGCAATGCGCTGCTCTGAGACACTTCAGACTCATTCTCCATGCTTTCCGGACGTCTGGTGAGGGCGCCAAGGGCCCCAGCGCTGCCTCCGACCAGAGAGCCGATGGCACCCACCGCCGGCACGGCCAGGTGGGAGGACTGGTCGTCGTCGCTGGGCTTTGTCAGACTCTCCGGGCTGCTGTTATTCTGCGTTGGTGTAGGCGATATGACGTTGAGCTTTGATGCAGCAACTGCGGTCAGTGAAGGACCGGCATCAACCTCCTTTGCATCGGCCAATGTGCTGGCTTCGGGGATTACGCTGTTGGTTTCGGCATTGTCTGACACGCGTGCTTCTTCAGCATTCGGTGTCTGATTCAAGGTTGAAGTCTGCTGATCATCTTCAACATTTTCGCTGACTGCACGCTCATTTTCATCCGGCACTGCCGCACCATCCACTTGGTCAACGCTTCCTTTATCGAGATCTTTTTCAGCACGGGATTCTTCTTGTCGCTCGAGCGAAGAATCGAGCAAGACGTTGTCACCCTGACTGAGGTCAAAAGTAGCACTACGGTTTTGTGTTTCTGGTCCATCATCCAGCAGACCTGGTTCCGTTGTGTCCTCTGTCTGATCCTTAACCCCAGTTGGTGACGGACTGAAGCGCTCGTTCGCTACCTCCGGAAACGGTGAGCTGGCCTTCTCGGATTGGACGGACAGTCGGCCACCGCTGAGGCCCACGGGAAGAATCACTGACTGGGTGAGAGCCAGCGGGTCGTATTCGTCGTCTGAGGCCACCAGGTGATCAGCGTGCGCACTCTCGACTGCATCGGCTGGCTGCGGAGACAGCGTCCCTGGCTGAGGGGACGAGGCGTCGTCTGGAGGAGGCGATGGGCCATCCTGCACTGACGAGGCATCCTGTTGTAGAGAAGGTGTGTCTGGCTGCAGTGACGAATCGTTCGGCAGAGGGGACGAAATGTCCAGTTTGAGAGAGGACACCTCTGGCTGCATACTCGAGAACTCTTCATGCGTCGATTCAGAATCCTGGTTCACAGACGCATGATCTATCTCTGAAGATTCGATGTTCTGGTGCTCTGATGATGCATCCAGTGGCCGAGGGGATAAGCCGTCTACTTCCGAGTGAGACAGCTCTTGTTGCTCAGGTAGTGCGATATCCTGCAGTTTTGTCTCGTCTCCGTGTGGGCTGGAAGCCACCGGGTTGGGGTCGAGCTGACTGCCATCTTCATCAGCTTGGTGACCCTCTTCAACGGCTACAACCGGCTCTGTCTCCGGTTCTTTAGTCTCAGGTGTAGAGGACGCTGGTCTGCTTCCGTTTAGTTCCGAGGTTACGAGCTGGTCACCATGCTGGTCATGAGTGGAGGTCAACTCCACTCCCATTACAGCAGCATCTGCGGTGAGGGACTTGGCTGACATTTGAGACGCACTACGCTGCACGCTATCATCGACTTCATGCAGGGGCGATTTTGCCATGGATTCGAACTCATGCTTCATCAGATCATATGAAGTGCGAACTGCGCCTGCAGAGTGAACCGAGCTCTGTCCCTCAATATTCGATAAAGTTATTAGTGATTCGTTCATGGCATTATCAACATTCTCTTGGGGCTCACCAGCGATCGACGCATTTGGGTTATCGTGTTCATCTGACAGAGGTGTGTTCCCTTGTTGAGCTGCTCCTGATTGAGGCCTGCTCCCCTGCTTAGGTTCTTCCGCTTGAGGTTTATCCTCCTGTTGTGGTACCCCTGACTGGGGCCTGCTCTCATGTTGTGGCGCCCCTGATTGGGGCCTGCTCTCATGTTGTGGCACCCCTGACTGGGGCCTGCTCTCCTGTTGTGGCACCTCTGTCTGGGGCCTGCTCTCCTGCTGGACCGTATCTGGTAGGGAACTGCCACCTTTCTGAGATTCTTCTGGTTGGGCTATGTCCTGTTGTTGAGGTTCCTCTGACAGAGACCTGCTCTCACGCTGAGGCTCCCCTGACTGTGGTCTTGTCTCATTTTGAAGCTCTTCTGAATGTATATTGCTCTCTCCCTGAGGTACTTCTGACATAGCAGTACTCTCCTGCTGTGCTCCTTCCGATGGCGATAGGCTTTCTTCCTTTGGTCCCTCCGATTGCGGCCTGCTCTCCTGCTGTGGTCCTCCTGACTGAGGCCTACTCTCCTGTTGGAGTCCTCCTGACTGAGGCCTGCTCTCCTGTTGGAGTCCTCCTGACTGAGGCCTGCTCTCCTGTTGGAGTCCTCCTGACTGAGGCCTACTCTCCTGTTGGAGTCCTCCTGACTGAGGTCTGCTCTCCTGTTTTGACTCCTGCTCCTGATGAGCTTCTGCCGACTGAGGTCTACTCTCCTGTTGCAGTTCTCCCGGCAATGAGTCCGTCCCCTGCTGTGATTTCGCAGACTGTGCACGGCTGCCTCCTCTGGCCATTGATGCCAGTGACTCTGTGGCATCTGATCGGCGGTACTGCGCCCGGTACTCGGTCTCTGCTCCCGGAGAGATCACCCGGTCGCCGTAGCGGGTCATCGACAGCGTGTCGTACACCACCGCGGCCCGCACAGGCTCCAACGTGATCCTGCTTGACGAGGAAGGGCTGCCAGGTTCATGTTGAGGATTTGAATCTTTTGCGGCAACAGACTGAGAACGTGATCCCTCTGCTAGACCCGAATGGGGACGGGACACAACACCCGCAGCGGACTGAGGGCGGGACCCAGTCGAGTCAACGAGCTGAGAACGCGCCATTTCAGCGGTAGAAGTGGACTGTGGACGACTTCCTGCGACAGCAGTTGACTGGGAACGAGATGCTTCTCCAGCTGCAGACTGGGGACGAGATCCTTCCACTGTAGCAGTCTGGGGACGAGGTTCTTCTGCAGCTGCAGACTGTGGACGAGATCCGTCTGCACCTGCAGACTGGGAACGAGATCCGTCTGCAGTAGCAGACTGGGGACGAGATCCGTCTGCAGCTGCAGACTGGGGACGAGATCCATCTGCAGTAGCAGACTGGGGACGTGATCCGTCTGCAGCAGCTGATTCGGGGCGAGATCCGTCTGCAGCAGCAGACTCGGGACGAGATCCGTCTGCAGCTGCAGACTGGGGGCGATATTGTTCTGCAGTAGCAGACTGGAGACGAGATCCTTCTGCAGCCGCTGATTGGGGACGAGATCCTTCCTTAGCAGACTGGGGACGAGATCCTCCTGCTGCAGCTGACTGGGAACCAGATCCTTTTGCAGATACAGACTGGGGACGAGATCCGTCTGCAGCCGCTGACTGGGGACGAGATCTTACCGCGGCTGTAGACTGGGGACGAGATCCGTCTGCAGCTGCAGACTGGGGACGAGATGCTTCTGCGGCAGACTGAGGACGAGATCCTTCTACAGCGGTGAACTGCGGATGAGATCCGTCAACAGCTGCGGATTGGGGTCGAGATCCTTCCTTGGCAGACTGTGGACGAGATCCTTGTGTAGCAGACTGTGGACGAGATCCTTGTGCAGCAGCAGACTGCGGACCAGAGCCTTCTTTAGCAGAATTAGGACGAGATCCTTCTCCGGTAGCAGACTGGGGACGAGATCCTGCTCCAGCAGAGAGAGGACGCGATCCTTCTTTAGCAGACTGGGAACGGGACCCTTCTGCAGCAGCAGAATGGGAACGAGATCCTTCTTCAGTAGCAGACTGGGGACGTGATCTTTCCACAGCAGCAGACTGCGGACGAGGGCCTTCTGTAGCAGACTGAAGACGGGATTCTTCCAGAGCTGCTGACTGGGGACGGGATCCTTCTTTAGTAGACTGCGGACGAGATCTTTCTGTAACAGACTGAGGGCGAGATCTTTCCACAGCTGCAGATTGGGGACGAGATCCTTGTGTAGCAGACTGGGGGTGTGAGTCTTTCGAAGCAACGGACTGAGGAAGAGATTCCTCTTTAGCAGACTGGGGACGAGATCCTCCTATGGCAGGCTGAGGACGAGATCCATCTCCTGCTGCAGACTGAGGACGAGATCCTTCTGCAGCTGCAGACTGAGGACGAGATCCTTCTGCAGCTGCAGACTGGAGACGAGATCCATCTTCAGCAGAGTGAGGACGAGACCCCTCTTTAGCAGATGGTGGACGAGATCCTTCTGCAGCAGACTGTGGAGGAGATCCGGCTGTAGTCGCTGACTGGGGACGAGATCCTTCTTTAGCAGAGTGGGGACGAGATTCTTCTGCAGCAGCAGACTGGGGACGAGATCCTTCTTCCGCAGTAGACTGAGGACGAGATCCTGCTGCAGTCGCTGACTGGAGACGAGATCGTTCTTTAGAAGACTGGGGACGAGATCCTTCTTTTACAGACTGTGGACGAGATCTTTCTGCAGCAGAGTGCGGACGAGATCCTTCTACTGCAGCAGATTGCGGACGAGATAACTCTGAAGCAGTGGATTGCAGACGATATTCTTCTATAGTAGACTGGAGACGAGACCCTTCTTTAACAGACTGGGGACGAGATCCTTCCTTAACAGACTGTGGACGAGATCCTTCTTCAGCAGACTGGGGACGAGATCCTTCTTTGGCAGACTGGGGACGAGATTCCGTTGCAGTCGCTGACTGGGGTCGAGATCCTTCTGCAGCAGCCGACTGGGGACGAGATTCTTCTTGTACAGACTGTGGGCGAGACTTTTCTGCAGAAGAGTGCGGACGAGATCCATCTGCAGCAGCAGATTGCGGACGAGAAACCTCTGAAGCAACCGACTGTGGACGAGATCCCTGCGCAGCTCCAGACTGGGGACGAGATAATTCTACAGCGACGGACTGTGGACGAGATCCCTCTGCAGCAGTAGATTGCAGACGAGATTTTTCTATGGTAGACTGGGGACGAGATCCTTCTTGAGCAGACTGGGGGCGAGATTCTTCTGCGGCAGACTGAGGACGAGATCCCGATGCAGCAGCTGACTGGGGTTGAGATCCTTCTGCAGCAGCCGACTGGGGACGAGATCCTTCTTTTACGGACTGTGGACGAGATCCTTGCGCAGTTCCAGACTGGGGACGAGATAATTCTACAGCGACGGACTGTGGACGAGATCCCTCTGCAGCAGTAGATTGCAGACGAGATTTTTCCATGGTAGACTGGGGACGAGATCCTTCTTGAGCAGACTGAGGACGAGATCCTTCTGCAGCAGACTGAGGACGAGATCCTTCTTTGGCAGATTGAGGACGAGATTTTTCTGCAGCAGAGTGCGGACGAGATCCATCTGCAGCAGACTGAGGACGAGACCCTTCTTTGGCAGATTGAGGACGAGATTTTTCTGCAGCAGAGTGCGGACGAGATCCATCTGCAGCAGCAGATTGCGGACGAGATAACTCTGAGGCAACGGACTGTGGACGAGATCTTTGCGCAGATTCAGACTGGGGACGAGACAATTCTACAGCGACGGACTGTGGACGAGATCCCTCTGCAGCAGTGGATTGCGGACGAGACTCCTCCTTAGTGGAATGGGGACGAGATTCTTCTTTAACAGACTGGGGACGAGATTTATCGGCAACAGCAGACTGAGGACGAGATACTTCCGTAGTAACGGCTTCCATAATGTCTTGCTGAGTCTGGTCATCTTTATCGAGAAGATCACCCTCCGGTTGATGCGTCTCTGGGCTATGAAGCTCTCGTTCTTTAGTGAGAATCTCACCCGGTGAGGCACCAAGTCGAGCGCGAACGAGCGCCTTGTACTCTTCCGACGGTGACTCAATGCGGAATCTCTCTAAGTGGTCCGGCAGCTCAGTGCTATCCGAATGTGTTGCAGCTATTATTTCTGCGTCGACCTCTTCTGTCTCATTGGATGTGAAGACGTTTAAGCCTTCATTGCCGGTTTGCGATTGAGGTCTTGAGGATTGGAGCTCAGTTTGTGACCCGGGTCTCGAGTCTACAAGTTTTGCTTGAGATTGAGGCCTTGACTCATGTTCTGCTTGAGATTGCGATCGAGAGTCCTGTTCTGATTGATATTGAGTTATTGACTCCTTTTCTTCCGCTTGAGATTGTGGTCTAGAGTCCTGATCTCCTGATTGAGATTGAGTCCTTGACTCCTGTTCTGCTTCAGACTGGTGCCCTGACTGCTCTGCCGGTGACGCTGCGCGGCTTTCTGCATCTGCTGCCGATGATTGAGCTCGTGACTGATGTTCATAGGGTGACTTAACTGGCGAACCAGTGTCCTGAGTCGGAGATTGAGCTGGTGATCCCTCTCCCGCTATATCTGGACTCGCTGATGGCTCGTCCCCTGGCTGTTCCTGTACTTCCTCCTCTTCCCTGTTCTTCTCTTCTTCACCCTGCTCCGCTGCTTCGGCCTCTCCGTGACCGCCATCTTTCTGATCCTCCTCCTCGTCTTTGACCGCCTCTGGTGCCTCGGAGCCGGGAACTACCGAGGCAAGAGCGAGACCGCCTACCCCAGCGACTGCCGCCAGCCCCGCGGCCCCGGCAGCGGCCCACCCGGCTCCCGACCCCGGCCGCTCGTCGGCGTCAGAGGTGGCGCCACCTTCCTCCGCCGCCTCGGTGGCGCCCTCACCGCCGTCCGCCGCGGTGGCGCCACCTGCACTGGCGTCCTCCCGGTCCGCCGGCGTGTCGTCGGCAGCCTCGGCGCCTTCTGTCGTCTCTGGCTCGGCAGAGGCTGACAGCCGGGCCTCGGCGGCGCGGACCGAGCCGGCCACGGCCCCCACGGTGACAGCGCCGGCAGCTGCGGCGCTGAGGGCGCCCACCAGCAGCGCCGCCTGTCGGGTTCGCTCCTCATGGCGCTCCTGCCGACAGACGGGGGAGGTGTCAGCACGGCGACTGTCGGCGGGTTAGCAGGCTTGCACTGTATCCACTATTCGGCGGCATTGAAAGTGCCACCGAATCTTTGTGCGCTTTCTGTGGCTAAAATCATCTTTTTTATGGTTACATTGCACCTACGTACGAGTTGCAAAATGTGCCTACCTTTCATCAACCATTCACGCCTTAATGCCTACCATAAAAGAGAGAACTATGGTTCTGCATTCATATAAAAAACTTTGTTCGACTTCAGTGACCCAAACGTATGCGTGGATTCAACGTTACAAGCCAAGCATTTCCAAACAAATCCCGGATCACAGATATGATTTAGACCGAAATTCAAGCGTAAGTACCACCGAAGATGGCTTCACGGCATCCCTCTCTCAGGACTTGGTCCCGCCGCCATAACAGTACCTACTTACAGGTTGAGCAGCTTGCTACGCTCTATAGAACGTAGAACGAGACTATAATGTCGTCACCGAGTGAAAAGAACGATACGTTATCCATCAGGTAGCGCAGTTTTTTAAAGGGTTTATAGCTGAGGGTGACCGATTTGTACTGACCTGCGCGGCCCTGTCGCCGGTGGAGGGCAGCGATCCGGCCGTCTCGTCCTCATCCACCTCCTGCAGTACCTCCTCCGTCTGTGACGTCGGAGCGCCGCGCAGCACCGGCTTGTTGCGCAGATCTGTCACACATCGGAGACGCTGCACTTATAAACACGTAATGCATACCCTGCTTCTACACACTCACGTAGGTAATACATATGTACATTCCCCCTGTTTGTGAGTGCGTGCTTTTTTTAGAACACCCTGTATCTTTATGTGAACGGCGCCTCACTTATAGTGTACACCATATGTCATTAACAATCGTTCAACCTGCCGGTAAAGACCACTCGCACGCAGCATTAAATGTGGTAAATTAAAAAACAAATATTACGTCATAGACATACCCACACGCAGTGAATTCTTCGCTGACATTGGTGTTCGAATGACTGTGTGAATCAAAGACCTACCCGGCACACCCTCTGTCACTCACCCTCCCTCTCTTTGAGCCTGTGCTCGAAGAACTGGTGACAAAAGCGATGGATATCCTCCGGCTGTTTGCGGAGCACCTCCCTGGCCAGGTCCTCCAGGGTCCGCTCAAGACCGGTGGGCAGCGGGATCCGGTGAAACAGCGGCTTAGTCGGCCGGCCGGAGCCCCAGTGGCCGTCTGTGGCGCTGGACGTCATCATGACTGACGGCAGAGACGGAGCAGGTGGCGAGGAGAGGCCGCCAGAGATCAGAGCAGCTCAATACACAGCGACTGAGACAGAATGTCGGATTGGTAAGTGGCTGTAATCAACGGCCAAATGCGCAACTGAAATGCGATTTGTCACTGGCAAAATTTGTAGGTAATCGAAAACTGAGGTCAATATGAAATTATTTAGCCACTGTGTTCAGCGTATCTATATGCTGAAGCTATAGTAATTAGTAAAGAATTGAAAGATAGATGCCCGGCACTTCATTAATCATTATACGTATAACGATCGCATTTAAATGGGTAAAAGTTAATCACCCACCTTCCTCAACACATCCTCCGTTACACAGTACCTGCCCTGCCCGCGCTTACCTCGCTCCCGTGTTGAGCGGCGGCAGCAGCAGCCCGTCCAGCCCCCGCCCCGGCCTGCACTGCCGGCCGGCCGCGCTCTGGAACGCGCCCGCCCTCCCATCAATACTGTGACGTCACCGAATCGGGGCACGAGTCTCCATAGGGACTGGTGGCCAACGAATGCTGGACGGCGCGGCGTGGGCATGTCTGACGGTAGTTAGAGGAAATCCCCTCCCCCGCGCAGTTTGCGCTTTGTCCGCAAGGGTCCGCGAGGGTTGGATGTTTGGTCCATAAACCACAACCGTGCAGTGGAGGCTATCGGTCTGTTTCAAGTCGAACATGCAGCTCACCAAGCTGGTTACTTTATGGGATATCAAACGGGCCAAGCCAAGATCGGGTGGAGCCCGCCCGCCAGCAGCACAGATTAGGCTGCACTGGGTGGGCAGACTGTCCCGCAATACATTGTGTTATGCGGCACAGTCTACCAGGCTCTATTTCCAGGAGCGGAACGGAATCAATAACTCAAGTTTAGTTCCAGAAAATATATGCATAAAAGCTTTGCCACATGCGTTTCGCATCATGCTACACTATAGCCCGAGAAGCATATTTCGTGTTTTTACCGTTACCCAATCCCCGATTCGTCGATGCGTTTCCCGGAGCGTCATAAATTGTGCAGCCTGTCGGACGATTCGGTCGCTCGCTGACTGTCGCCAATTACTATTGCATTGTGAGCGCCTGCCGACTGCCGAGCGAGGAGTAGGGGAGAGTGGGGCAAAGCGGCCACCCTAACGTTTCTAACGATGCCGACGCTTGATTTTTAAACTTGGAAAGATTCTTTCTATACCAATGTGATCCCTATTAAAATTGTCTTTTATTCCGACTGCGTTTCATTTCCAAAGGCGTTCACATATGGGAGATATTGACAAAACTTTAAACCTATAGCATATTGGCCACTTTGCCCCATCCCTGAGGCAAAGCGGCCACTGCCGACTTCTCAAGTCTCGATATGAGAAACAGAATAGTTGCCTCATGCACGACTAGGGTATTTGATGGTGACAAGGTTTAAGGGAAGATGGATGTTTACTTTGTTATCTTCCCACCTATTGCTAAACAAAGAAAGAATTTTCTTGGAAAAACATTTAATTGCATAATTTGGTAACTCATGTAACCGAAAAGTGGCCAAGATGAATGCATGACGACACATTTGAATATAAATAATGTTTTTATCCAGATGGAAACAACTTATTGCCAATTGGGGGCTGGCCACTTTGCCCCGGCCGCTTTGCCCCGCGCATACCGTCCGAGACAAAAATATTCCAGCTCAGCTATTAGTGGGGTAAAAAGCATTAAAATTGGTAGAAGGCATGTACGATAACCACGCAATGCATGGACAAAAACGCTTATAAAAATTCCAAACGGTTATGGAATAAAATAACATTTAAAAATTGTAAACATAATTGGTAACCTGGCAAGAAAGGCTTTTCCGTGTTTCACAGAACAATGGCGATGGGCCTGAAACCCCGGTCTGGCTCATTCGAACGACCGCAAAGAGAAGTATAATTGGAAATCATAAATTGGAACTGACGCCAGCTGTGGAGGGCTAAAACGATGGATGGCCGCTTTGCCCCGGGTGGCCGCTTTGCCCCACTCTCCCCTACGATACCAGACAGAAACAATCCGGCCAATAGACGTCACTTGCGGCTGCGCTGCCAATGGAGCCCGGCCAATCAGCCGGAGGAGCCCAATCGAACACTCACAATCGATCCATCGGCTCTGCTAAACGTCGATTCATGATTACTTGCTGAATTGTGCGGGAGCTAATTATAGATAACTGCAGATCCATGTTGCAATTACCTATATTTATGACCGGTATTAGCAGCATATTAGGATTTTCACCCAACTATTCCTATAAAAACTGCTAGCGGATGGGTATTTTTGGAACATTCAATTAGACGAACTTATATATTAGGAAGGCTCAGTTTTAAACCAGTACCTATGTTAATAATCCAGCTGGAGTAATACAGCATGCATCCAACATCCCCGAACATTCGTGACATGCCTCCGAGCACATACATATGATATCGTCTGTCCTTGGCGGGTGTACCGACCGGGTCGATGAGGTCATTTTCCGGCAATCGCACGGTCGCATTCCAGCTGCATGACACTCGGGGCCGGGGGACCTGTCTGCCGCCGCGGTCGATATTATACAGCGCTGACTTTCCAGAATGTGCAAAAGGGACGAGTCGCGCGCGATTTGATCAAAGCACTATTCTATCATTTACATACTTCAAAGTTCGTAGTTGCATATTGGCTACGTCCACAAAGTCGCAAATTCGCACTCAAATATATTTGATGACGGGCACACTGTCGGATTAGAAGCGCGTTTTCTGGTGATTTCTTTCCTTCAATTAAAAAGAGCTCAGATAGGGGGAGACAGCCTTGAGCATACGCACTGCCCACAATGCTAGGCCAGCCACCCACGTAATTCGTCGAATAGGGTAGGGTGGGGCAAAGCGCCTACCCTAACTTTCCAGGCTCAATACCTCTTAATTTTGCAAATTTAAGAGGCACCGACCCAGGCACCTGAACTGACAGCCCAATGTCTCGTCTTTCATCGAATAATGGATCGCAATTATATGTATTTACTATTTAGTATGCATTTTTTAAAACGCCGTCTAAATTGAGGGACTGCGAATCAGGCGTCTTGCTACGCCCATGGAGTATAACGCCCATTATATTTTTGGGACATACCGCCCCGTTCACATCACTTGTTTTTCTCCTTTATAGGTATTAGCTATTTGATATACCTATTTACATCAGCTGAACGCATATTGACGGGTAATAAAGTAATCCTGGGCACTGGCGGATCCAGGCTTGCGTTTTGGGGGGGGCCAACTCATGCAGGAGCCAAACCTAGGGTACCCCCAAATCCTGTTTTCTCATCGGATTTAGGCCACTTATTTTTCGTCACAGCCCTGGCACTATGAATTTTTTTTTAACTAAAAAGAAAAATATATAAATGGTAGCCCACCCGACCCATGCCTTTATATTACTTTGTAAACACTTACCATTGTTTTTATCGACCAGTTAAAGGGACCCTCCCACCTTAACATTAGATTTGAGCTGAGATAGCCAAAATGGGGTCCCTGGCTCACAATTACTGGTTTCGGCACGCACTCACAACATCGAGAAATGCCTTAAATCGGAAATATTGAATTTCAAAATTGCAGCATTTTGATTCAGAGGGGCTAATGCTTTTGGATACCCCTCTGAATGTGTGACGTCAGCGGAGATCTAATGATTTTTTAATATTTTACTAAAACGTTTGGTAGCATGCGGTGGTATAGGCTGCTTTGCGCGCAACAAATGCCGCACTTTCAAATAAAGTCGCTAGGAACAGCAGCGGATATCTCAAAAAGTAAACAAAAATAAAAGTCTAATCTCTTGAAAACCGGTGAATATTTTTCGATAAAATTTGGTAGATATTCGTTTTCGCCCTTTCTGAACCTAGCGACATCACTTTCATCCCAATTCATTAACTTTTTTGAAGGTGGGAGGGTCTCTTTAACCCGCTTCGAGTCAGTGCTTGGGTCCCTTTGCGGGCCGGGAGGTGGTAAAACAGCCCTGTCTAACTCGGCTCCTGGGACACGCCCTGATTGAACTATGTTTCATTATCGTTTGGGGAGGGGGAAAACGGGCCACTTTAGGCCTCTGGGAAGGGGGCATGGCATGGCCCTAAATGCCCCCTCCCTGGATCCGCCAGTGTAAGAAGAGACCATTGGAGCTGCAGTTGGGTACCTCAGACATCAGGGTACGCCCTCAGATGTATGTATAGGACTCGCATGGAGATCTCTTATGCTATAGTGTACTGGAAGGACCCAAAGGAGCCTGTCTATATGGGCTCCCGGAGATAGACGTGGGCCCTCAGGAGCCCGCCAGAGCCCCAATGAGGGATAAGTGAGGGATACCAAGTGCCTGCAATTGCATATTGGATAAGCCATAACGCCTTTACAAATCAATATATTATGCATCAGTGGCAGATCCAAGGGGGGCCACATGGGTCATGACCCCCTTGGTGCCCGGGGGCACCACAGGCCTGTCAGGGGCACCACCGGCCTAGTAGGGGCACCACCAGCCCGCCAGGGGCACCACAGGCCTAGCAAGGGCACCACGGGCCTGTGAGGGGCCCCACAGGCTTGTCAGGGGCACCCCAGGTCTGTCAGGGACACCAGAGACCTGCCAGGGGCGCCGCCGGCCTCGCAGGGGCACCATGGGCCTGTCAGAGATGTCAATAGCTAAAGTTGCAGCTGCAAGGGTGACGATACATATAAGCTACATTCAAAGTTTCATTGTAGTCTGGCTAATCGTTCCTAAGCTTCAGAAGCAGAACATACCCATGACTGAAACCCCACATTACTTCTGCTGTGGACTGTACCACAGGCCTGCCAGGGTCCAGGGGCACCACAGGCCTAGCAAGGGCACCACGGGCCTGTCAGGGGCACCTCAGGCTCCCGTGCCCCCCCCCCCTCCCCCCCAGATCCGCCAGTGATGCCACACCACGCGAAACACCGCCAACTACCAGCTGCCGCGCCATAAACACGTGCCAACAACAGTCTTTTTTTTTAAGGTCGACTCCGCTCGCGCAACTTTTGACTGACCCTCACTGCTACTATATTGCTTCCATATTATGCTGTGGAAAGCTTTACTTCACCAAGTGGCTAAAAAACTCCATCAAGGTATATTTTCTTAGCAATTTTTCTGGCGTTTTGGGGGGGCCAAACAGGCCACTTTAGGCCTTTGGGGGGGGGCCATGGCCCCCGTGCCCCCCCCCCCTGGATCCGCCAGTGATCCTGGGTGATACTGGTAAGTGGTAGACGCTTAGCTCTTCTGTCATAGTCCTAATCCTATATCCAGCCAACAACCGTTATTGCTTCGGAGAGCCAAAACACCTTTTATAAGACAATTTTGCGCTAATTAATCGTTCCAGGACTGAAGACAGACAATCTAATATGTTGCAAATTGGAAAATAAGGTTAAACATTAAGAACGTGTTCAA